TTTTTTTGTCTAGTTGATCTATCTATTTGTGATAGTGGGGTATTGAGGTCCCCACTACTATTGTATTAGTGCATATATGATTTTTCATGTCCGTTTTGGTTTTTTTAATTTGTTTTTATTTTGTTGTTGTTGTTGTTCATTTGTTGCAAAGTAGGTTTTATTACTTTCCTGATTAATGTGCACTCCCAGAGGCACTGAGGCTCGTCCTGTGCTTTCTGCTCCTCTGGCAGGATGCAACTCTTCCCTATGGTCTAGGACTCCCTCTTCTGTTCATTTCTTTCCAAGAAAAACCCCAAACTTTTCACCGTAGATTGTTCTGTTGAAAAGTAATAGATCCAATATTCCTCCTAAAGAATAAACTATTGAGATTATTAGGGTGCATTTATAGAAGTACTCTTAGGCTATTAAGTTCCCATTCCAATAAGAAATCACTGACAGTTGACTTTTGGCAATTATCTAATGAAATACACACTTCCCTCCCACTGTCCTTTGGAACAAAACATTTATTAGCACTTATTATGCATTGCCAGTGTCCCAAGAGCTAGGAATACCACTGGGAAGTAGATTGTGTCCATCTGCTCAGGGAGCTCACAAGAGACAAACATGCACGTATCAGAAAGTAATCAGTGCTATGGGGGTTAAATCGGTTGTGTAAATTTGTGTGTGATTAGGTCTTCATTTCAGAAAACATGGTTAGCAAAAGTTTCTTTAAGTAATTCTCCTATAAGAAGACTATTTATAAAAATAAGTAGCCAAACAAGGGATGGAAGGAGGAGAAAAGGAAGGAATGGAAAAAGGATTTGAGAAAAGGGTGAGAATTGAAGGGAAAAAATGGAAATAGGGCTTTTGTAAATCGGGAGAGGAGGAAGGGTGCATAGGGGAAGGGGAATGGGAAAAAAGAATTGAGATATACTATATATAGGTACAAATTTTCAATAATGAATAATGATCACTATGTATGGCAAGCATGTACTAATAAAAAAATTTTTTTAATGAGAAGCCAAGGAAAGAAAGATATTCCAGCAGTAAAAACAATTAGTAAAAAGACTCTAAGGCAAATTCATATTGGTATGTTTGAAATATGGATAAGAATTTGTTGTCAGAAAATAACAGAAAGGATCTTTATGTGTGAGGTATAAACCAGAGAGTTTGATGTGTCCCTAATCATACAAGGTTTTGTATCTCATAATAAAATGGTTTGGTTTTTATTAAATAGAATGGAATATCATTGAAAGGCTTTGATGAGAAAAGGGATGTGGTATGATTTACAATAGAAACCATGTTTTGTGGTAAGTGGACTTTCTAAGGTGATAATGAGAGTAGGAAGATTAAGTAGAGGCTGTTGCCATGGTGATTTTGGGATGGTACCTGGGGCCATCAGAAAAGAGAACAAAGTGAAAATGGAGGCACATCCTGATTGATACCCTACAAACAGGGATGAAGAAGAAAGGAGTCGAGGGTATTTTCTAGAGACAGACTTGAGCAAAGGGTGGCCCATGCTAGTGTTAACAGAGATGGGAAGAATGAGACAGAAGCAAATTTTGTCTGGGGATCAAAAACTGATAGTTCTAGTTTACTATTTTTTGTGATATTAGAATTTAAATGGCTGGATAAATAGTTAATTATAACTGTCTGATCTTTAGGGGTGGTTAAAAGTATATATATTAATGCAGATAAAGCAAAGACAGTGAGCCAAATTTGAGCTTTCTAAGGCCCTCCACTAATACTAAGTGGCAAGCTAGAGAAGGGGCAAGAGAAAGGAGTTAGGTAGAGGAACAGCAGTGAGGTGAGGGAAAGCCAAAACAACAGCATATCACCGAGGCAAGGTTACCTCCACATGATTTCCAAAGAGTTGAGACACGAGGACAAGAGGCCTAAACCAAGGTGTGTCCAGGACTGGTGCTGGTGTGTGCTTAGATAATGCTGGTAGAGGGCAAACCTACAGCACACACCTGAGCTTTTAATCAGAACAATTCTTACAGTGCTTAGAGATTCTGAGAATATTTAAGAGGTGATTGGATTTGAAGTAGATCCTCAAGGAAATAAAACTAATAAAGACAAAGATATTTTTATATACACTTAAGAGTTTAAAAAAAAAGGCTGCATTTATTTCTCTTCTGTGACTGGAAGCAGAATTTTATACAGGAAAGAATATCCTAAGTTCCTGTAGGCAAATCCTATGTTTACTGTTTGTGTTCACTGTTATATTGCTACTACCTTGGAAGTCATTTAAGGGAGATTGTTGAATACATTCACAAATTCAGTAGGCTATGTCATCTCAAAATAATAATAATTGCATACTTTTGTGTTTTGTTGTAGGCTGCAGAGTATTGTGACTTTTGCCTGGTCCTAGGGGATAGGTATTTTATTTTAGCTTCTTTTTAACTTTTGCACAGAGTTAATTCCTAAGTACTGGTTAAATGAATCATCAATATACTGGAATGCTTTATGATTAGTGTCTTTATAATCTACTAATTTCAACAATGACTAAAACTATAAGGCATTTGCACTGCTAGGCCTGGAAGACAGGAGTAGGTAAAAGACAGCATCACAAATTAAAAATATAGCTGTACGTACCAGCTGCCTGGTGGCAGACGAGAGCACATTCTGTGATCCTTGGGCCCACAGTATGTCATCCATCCCACAGCTGTGGTCAGCCTGACTGTGGCTGGGCTCGTCCCTGAAGAGTGCATGCTCCTGCTCATCGTGCTGGGCAGAGCTCAAAGGCTCGATGAAATACCTTTGATCTCCTTGACTGAAGTAGCCCCTAAAGTACATGAGAAGTCAGCTTCTGGATGAAATAGTCTTGCATTTGAGTGGTACAGATTCATAAGCTCCAAGAAGGAGTTCAGAAAATTTCTGGTCAACTCAAAAACAATTTCATCTCATGCTGATAGACTACAGTGAAACATACAGCTAAGAATGCTTTTAAATGCTATTACCAAACTTCTTTTCTCTATATAGAAACAGGAGAAATGACTATTGAAATATCATATAGCCAACTGTGTCACTTCTGCCACTAGAAAGGACATCTCCTGTCTCAGCCCAGACCTCTTCCAATTTTCATCCTGTGTCTAATCTAAATGTGCACTGAAAATTAAACAGATTTTGAAATCTTACACCAAAAAATGCTAAAATCCTAAATGTGTTATTTATTATTTATGAAAGGAAAAATTACTTAAATTAATTTGGCCTCAGTTTTTCCACCTATGATACTGACCGGATACCTGCTAATATGACACTGGTAAAGACTGAAAGAGATAACATGTAAACTATGTGATCAAAAAATATAATTAATTCCTTTTCTACTCTTTATGCTGAAATCTTGAGCTAAGACTCCCTTAACTGAATTTCAGTGATCACCCATTATTCAATAGCCACGATGAAGGACAGACAGTAAAAAAGAGTCATGATCTCTTCCCTCACAGACATTCACCTCAAATGAGAAAAATGGATGTGCAATAAACAATCAAGGAGTATATATAATTATATAGTAAACAACATATATGATTACAACAAATAATTAGTACAAAGAAAAAAGTACAAGAGCATATAAAGGGACTCTAGATTTAGTACACACAGAATTGGAAGATAGCAATGTTTATTTGCAGTAGCTTGCATAAAGGGGCATGGAGTTGAAGTAGGATAGTATAATAGAGAAAGAATGTAGAGAACAGAATGCTCTTGGGAAATATTTTGAAGATATCATCAATAGGACTTGAGAAGGGATTGCCAGTAGGAGGCTGCAAGAAGTCCTCAACAAAGTAGGTTTCTAGATTGGGCAGGTGATCATTTGATTGTACCACTGACCAAGATTCAGAGAACAGAAAAAAATTTCTGAGATAATCATTAGTTTAGTTAGGGCACATGGACATTGCAATTCCTCATGGTATCCAACTGGAAATACAGGAAAGGAGATTAGACAATCAAGTCCAAGCATTAGAAGAGATTCTCATTGTAGACAGATCCACAGGAAGTCATTAACAGACAGAAATGGAAGCTATAGTCATGAATAAGACAAGCTAGGAAAAATTCAGGCTGGGAAGAGGGTGAAAAGGAACTTCCATTTCCTAAAGATTCTGGTTCTAATACTACGATTCAAAAGCCTGCATTTTTAAAACAAGCAAAGAAATAAAAGCAACACTTAAAGCAATAGAGATGTGCAAGTCATACGCCAGTACAAAGAGAAACGTTTACATCCTTCAAATTCCAAAATTTTCTACCCCTTAGAATTCATGCTCAGGTATTATATCATTAATTAAACTTAAGAGTCTTCAGATTCATTATATTCACACTATTATCACAGGTACATACAAAACTAACAAAGTCTTACCTTAGGCCCCTACATGTGCTGATGCTAGCATCAGAAACTTTTTCATTGACAATGTGTCCTTGATAGTAACAACCATCCTAAAGGAAAAGGAAAAAGGGTTCTGTACAGGAACATAGTCATGGTTTTCAGACTCACTGATAAATTTGAACTTTAAACCTTGTAACAGGACTCATAATTCTTTCAAACTATTTTCTGCTGGACAAGAGTCAACTTAGAAGTAGCAGCCCCGCCAGAGCTGGAACATGCTTCTCGGTGTCTGAATCCACACTGCAGAGGCACCAGGGGCCATAAAGACCATGGTTATGAGCCCCAGAAGATAGAGCAGAAGTGAACAACAGAGAGGGCTCTCTCTCTCTCTCTCTCTCTCTCTCTCTCTCTCTCTCTCTCTCTCTCTGAGGCGCCTCGATGAAAATTGAAGCCCACTGGGAAACTGAAGAAAATATCTGCCATAACAGCACACTGGACCACCATGTTTGGCAAGTTGGTGGAATCAGCACCTCCCATAGAAACCCAGACTCACTTAGTGGGGAGGACAGCTGGAACCTGCAATAGAACCTTGCAGAATTCAATCCTGCAGGAGGTCAGGAACCTCAACTTGGGCCTTGCAGCCAGAAATCAGCTTTAATCTCAATAGACTATAGCTGGCTTGCTGAGTCTAATCAACTTAGACCTGCACACTGCTGCCCACATTGTCTACCAGGACAGCAGATACATATGCTGAGGGAGGCCCTTTTCTTTTATATATATATATATTTTCTTTCTCTCTATGTTCTGGTTCTGCATTTCTCTCCCTCTTTGTTCCTGTGTCTGTCTCATTTCAAATTGTTTCTCTTTCTCTGTCCTCTTGACTGTCACTATTTTTATAGGAAGGTGAATACAGTTTCTAGCTTCCTTATTGCTGTCAGTTTGCTCTGTTCTTGTCTCTGTTGTTTCACTCTGTCTTTTCCTACTGTCTTCAACAGTTTCCCACAATTTACATGATCTTCCTGTGTCCTCTAGACTCATTGCTAACCTTTTCCTCTCCTTCCATCTCTCTATCACTTCCTCCCTAACCCCTTCTAAATCCTCATCCCAAAGGGTAAATTTGCTATATTGAGGGGTTTATTTACTACCAACATATTTTGGCTTGTCCCTGGATTTTGACCTAGCTTGCATGTGATTAAAGGTGACAGATTAACTGCTACCATAAATTGTCGTTTTCTAAGCTGTATTTCATACTATTGTTGATGCTCCTTGTGTCAATTGGGCTAAGGTGTCATGATTGATCTAATCAGTTGTCCTCCATGGTATACTAAAAACAAGATTGCCTAAGACTCTTTAGAGATTCAAAGCCTAAAAGACCAGCTATAACTGGAAGATATCTCTGAGAATAAATCATTCCATAAGGGCTCTAAACACAAGTAATAAAGATACTCACAATAAGCAATATTGAAGTATCACCCCAGGCATTAAAGCAAAAAACAGCACCATCAACAAAATTAGAAATTAAAAGACACCTAAGCAAGGTGCAAACCCAGACTTCCAGCTCTCCAAAGGCAAATTATAAGGGCAATGAGGTGGAAAAGTCTGATAATCAACCACCTGGACACCCTAAACCAATAGCACAGAAAGTAAGAAAACAGATGAATGAGGCTATAGAAAAATTCAAAACAGAAATAATCACTCAGATAATTACAGAAATGGTGAGCAGAATGAAAGACATGATTAGAGACTCTAGAACAGAAACAGATTAAAAAAAAAAATAGATGAGTTCAGGACCATGATGGAAACCATGAATGCCCAATATAAAAAAGAAATTGAATCCATGAAACAGATTTGAACAGATATCTAGCAAACTAAAAACTCTATTGAAAGTATACACACCAGATTGAGCCGATCTGAAGACAGAATATCAGATATAGAAGACAGGATGTCAGTCAGTGACCATGAAAAGAGAAATCTCTTAAAAATAGTAAGGTACCATGAGAAATCAACACAACAGCTCCTAGATGATGCAAAGAACAATAATATAAGACTAATAGGAGTCCATGAAAAAGCAGGAGAAAGTACAAATGACATAAAAAAATTAACTATTCACAGAAGTAAAGCAGAAAAATTCCCAAACTGAGGAAAAGACTTTGACATACAGATAAGTGAGGCATATAGGACCCCAAGTACCCATGAGCAAAAAAAAAAAAAAAAAAATCTACACTTAGATATATAATAGTCAAGATTCCAGAAATCCAACAGAAGAACAAAATCCTACCAGCAGTTAGAGAAAAGAAACAAATCACATACAAAGGAACACCCATCAGAATCACAGCAGACTTTACAACACAAACCCTCAAGTCAAGGTGAGCCTGCAGTGTAGTATTTCAACCCCTAAAAGAAAATAACTTCCAGCCTAGACTGTTGTATCCTGCAAAATTATCTTTCAATATCAATGGAGAAATTAGATACTTCCATGACAAAGGACACCTGAGAAACTTCGTGAATATAAAAACTAAGATAGTGGCAAACAGAATACGGAGGATCATCAAGAAGATCATACATCCTGAAAAAGTCAGATTTATTCCAGGGATGCAAGGATGATTCAACAAACGTAAATCAATAAATGTAAGGCACTATATTAACAGAGCCAAGGACAAAAACCATATGATCATCTCAATAGATGCAGAAAAAGCATTTGACAAAATTCAACATTTGACAAAATCCAATTTATCTGTATGATAAAAACCATACAGAAAATTGGAATACATGGTCTTTATCTCAACTTGATGAAGCCTATATATGAAAAAATCAAGAGCCAACATTATACTAAATGGTCAAATACTGAAAACTTTCATGCTAAAATCAGGAACAAGACAAGGATGTCCACTATCACCTCTCCTGTTCAATAAAGTTCTGGAAACATTAGCCACAGCAATTAGACAAGAGAAAGAAATAAAAGGAATAAAGATTGGAAAGGAAAAAGTTAAACTGTCATCATTTGCTGATGATACTATACTCTACATAGAAAACCTAAAACACTCCCCCAAAGACTCATAGACTTAAATGACAGATTCAGTAGAGTAGCTGGATACAAGGTCAACACTCAAAACTCAACAGCCTTCTTGTATACAAATAGCAGAGTCCCTGAGAGAGAAATTAGGGAAAAAAAATCCCTTTCACAATAGCACCCAAAAAAGTGAAATATCTAGGAATCAATCTAATAAAGAAAGCAAAAGACCTCTACATTGAAAACTACAGTGCTCTGAAAAGGATATAAGAAAATGGAAAGGCATCTTTTGTTCCTGGGTAGGAAGAACAAATATAGTGAAAATGACCATATTTCCAAAACTGCTATATGGATTTAATGCAATCTTGATAGAAATCTCAACATTATATTTCACAGAACTAGAGAAAACAGTCCAAAAGTTCATTTGGAACCAGAAGAGACCTAGCATAGCAAAAGCAATTCTAGGCAACAGAGACATTACAGGGAGTATCACAATCCCCAACTTGAAACTATACTACAAATCTACTGTGGTAAAATCAGCATGGTACTGGCAAGGAAACAGATCTGAGGATTAGTGGAATAGATAAGAAGATGCAGAAACAACTCCAGACATTCTCAGCTACCTCATCTTTGATAAAAAATCCAACCATCCTCACTGGAGGAAAGATAGCCTCTTTAATAAATGTTGCTGGAAAAACTGGATTTCAACCTGCCAAAGATTAAAACTAGACCCATATCTATCACCATGCACTAAACTAAATCGAAATGAATTAAAGATATAAATGTTAAAACAAAAACACTAAACTTACTGGAAAATAAGTTAGGTAGAACTCTTGAAGACATTGGCATAGGAGAAGACTTTATGAACAAAACCTTAGTAGCATGGGAACTAGCACAAACAATCAAAAACTGGGATCTCATCTTATTAAAAAGCTTCTGGGGCCAGGGATTTACCTCAGTGTTTTCACCACCTGCTGCACAAGTGCAAGGACCTGAGTTTGATCCCTGGTACCAAAAAAAAAAAAAGCTTCTGCACTTCAAGATAAACCACCAAAAGAGCTAATAGACAACCTACAATGTCTGAAAAAATCTTTAGCAGCTGTACCTCAGACAAAGGACTACTATATTGAATATATAAAGAACTCAAAAAAATCAGACCCCCCCAAATATAAAGACCCAATTAAAAAAATGGGCATCTGAGATGAACAGACATTTCTTAGACAAACAAGTAAAAGCAGTAAATAAACATGTTAAAAAAGTCTCAACATCAGTGGTCATTTGAGAGATGGACATGAAAGCAACACTGAGATTCCACCTCACCTCAGAAAGAATGGCTGCTATCAAGAAATTAACCAATAACAAGTGCTTGTGGGATTGTGGAGAAAAAGGAACCCTTTTTCATTGTTGGTGGGAGTGCCTGTGGAAATCAGTATGGAGATGCCTCAAAAAGCTAGGATTAGAAGTTCCATTTGACCCAGCTATTCCTCTGCTGGGTATCTTCCCAAAAGAATTAAAAGAATTATAACACAGTGATATGTGTGCACCCATGTTCATAGCAGCACAAGTTGTGATAGCTAAAGCTTGGAAACAGTGGAAGTGCCCACCAACTGGAGACTGGATAAAGAAGATGTGGTTGTTGTTTTTTTTATAAAGTAGAGTAGTACTCAGCCATAAAGAATGAGAAACTAGAGACACTTATATCTAATGGATGCATATTGTGGCCATACTCTTAAGTGAAATGAATAGAACAGAAATGTGTAAATACCAAATAGTTTCTCTGGTGTGAGAAACTGAAAGTGTAAATAAGGGTTAAAATGAATAATTGATAATGTGAAATAGGAAGTAAAGGTCCAAAAGGGTAGGGGAAATGGGAGGGGAAGGGGAAAGGAAAGGAGGGAAAGGAAAAATATTTAAAAAGAAATAAATGGAAACAAAGTCTTTGTAAATAAGGAGGGATGGAGGAGTTGAAGGGAGGGCAGGGGAATGGGGAAAAATAAGAACCAAGATAAACCACGTAAAGGTACAAGTTCCCAATGATAAGTGTAAATGTATTTTATACCTTAAATGTACCAATAAAAGAATTTAAGGAAAAAAGAGTCGACTTAGAGATGAAAAAGGCAATTAAATATAAGCTTTTTAAAGTTAAAGTATTTAATGTCAGTTAATGATCCAAAAATACTTATAAAGCATTAATACATATTGGTGTTGCTGAAATAGGACTGAAGTGTTAAATACTGCTTAGAAGAAATGCCTTTAGTGACCATAAGTTTAAAATCTGAGGAGCCCAAACAGCAAACTTTTATTCTTCAGCTTCAATGACTAACAGCTCATTACATTTTTTCTAAGATCTAGATTGTTTTCCCCAAATGACAGGTTATTCTTGGTTCATTTTTATTTCTTAATTTATCCAAAGAGTTCTGCCAGATTGAAATGAATCTGCACAACATTCCCTCCTTTCATTTGTAACATTGCTCATGTGGATGTTCCATGAAGTACTTCTCTAATTGGGCCCATGTAAAGTTTTGTATCGTTGTTTGGCAAGGATATTTAAAGGTCCGCAGCAGAGAAGGGATCTTCAAGAAGAAAGCATTGCTGCACACCGTCATGTGCACATTCTGGAGAGGGATCCAGGTAGGTATTATACAAGGAACACACAAAACCCTACAATTGCAATTAAGCAGACAGACGAATTTGAGGGAGGTGATCAGGACTGGCAGAGAACTACAAAAGTGTTTAATTCTCCATGTTACTGAAAGTTACTGTGAAGAAAACAATATTAAAGAAAAAGCCCACCTACCTTGAAATATGGAAAAGGCTACTAGGGTTGTCAAGGAAGGCCTTTTGGTGAAAATGTGAGTTAGAAATCAGTTACGTTATTATTACTGTCAAAAAAAAAAAGTCTCAGGGCAACAAATGTTGTTTCCTGTTCATTTGCCTGGCAACACTGTGCTAGATACATGGGTCATACTCCCATTAACAAGGAATCTGGGAGACTTTATATACCATGACTTGTGGGCTCGTGGTGACTGGCTTTCCAGAGGACTTATAGTGTGTTTCCGTGTAGTTTGATGCAAGGAGATTCCTAGAGAAAGAAAAAAAAGCATAGTTACTCGCAGTAATAGGGAAGCCTGGTGATGAAAACAAATTATTTCAGGGTGTACAGAAAAGCTGTAATTTGCCCGCTCCTCCTTCAGACCCCTTCAACACAAGTATAAGCAAGAAAAGGCTTGGAGAAACCAACAGGGCAGGGACATTCCTGAGCAGGGTAGAACAGAGCTTCTTCCTCATAGGACTTTTGCAGGCTCCTCTGAGGAGGGACTTCAGGAAGATGCAGAACTCAGAAGGTCAAAATTAATAAAAATGAACAGTGTGAACAAAAATGGCTTCTAACCACTCTGGGACAACTACTCTTTCCTCCCGAGTCCTTCACAGGTCTCAGTGACATCAGACCAGAGCTCATTGGGAATGGACTTGAATTAGATAGTTGGGGCCCTTCTGGCATTTTCACTAATCTTCTTGAAATTCTTTCAGTTATTGACCAAAAATAGGGGGCTTTATGTGTGTATACAGTCAACCCCCCATCTCCATGGGTTCTACATTCTAGTTTTCAACCAACCACAGCTAAAAATACTTGGAAAAAAATATTGCATCTGAACTAATTAAATACAGATTTTTGGTGTCATTGTTATTCCCTAAATAATACAATATAACAACTATTTACCCAGTGTTTACCCTCTATTAGGCATAATAAGTAATCTAGAGATGATTTAAAGTACACAGGAGGTTGTACATAGGTTCTATGTAAATATTACACAGTTTTATATAAGACATCTGAACATTTAAGGATTTAGTAGCCATGAGGTGTCTTGAAACCAATCTTTTGAGGATGTGGAGGGGTGACTTGTGTGTGTGTGTGTGTGTGTGTGTGTGTCCATCTGTCTTTTTCTGTGTGGCAGTGTGCATGTGCATATGAGGTATACACTACAAATTAAAATTGAAGATATTTAAGCTGAATGATGTGATGGTTTGATACACAAATTCATTATGAAATCAGTAGCACAATCAAAACATATCCACCACCTCACATTGGTTTGCATGTGTCAAGAATACTTAAGACTTACTCTACTGGGAAATTTCAAGTATAAAATACAATATTACTAACCATAAGCACTGTGCTGCACAGTAGATATCTAGGACTAACTCACGTTACAGCTGAAAGTTTGTAGCCTTTGATCCACCCCTCCCCATTCCCTCCTCCCTCCCCAGGTCCCCAGCCTTTGTTTCTATGAGTTGGACTTCTTTAGATCCCACACATAAATGACATCCAGATCCATCCATGCTATTGCAGATGGATTTCCCTTTTTGAGATTAAGTAATATATAGCTTCATGCATGTCTACACATACTACAATTTCTTTATTCAGTCACTTATCAGTGGACACAGGTTGATTCCTTATTGTGTGAATAATTAATATATTTGTTTAAGAAGAGGCAAGGTGAGAGGAAAAAGGCCATATATATAATTTATTATATATTATATTATTATATATTATATATAATCTCTAGAGCAGGCACTGTGTCAGAAATGCAATGTACATCATTCAGTTTAATCCTGTGAGACATTACTCTCCTTATTTTCATATGAGAATAAAGATTTCAAAGAATCATATTCAGGTTAGCCTGCATCCAAAGTTTGTACTTTTCTATTCTACCATACTGTTTCCAAATGTCAATCTATTTTGATGATTTTCAAAAGCCAATAAACTATTTTTTGAAGAAAATCTTGCTACCTTATACAGAATGATGCAGGGATTAAAAGCACAGCTTTGGGAAAAACTGGTTTAGAAATAGTCAAGGTGTAGGATGATCAAGATCTGGGTGAGAGCTGCAGTAAATTGGAGAGCTGAGGCTCTTCTAGCATTGAAGATTTGTTGAATTCTGGTCAACCAAATGAAGAAAATGAATTAACAATAGGATAACGTAATGCATAGGGAAATAGGTGAATGGATTGCTGGATGGAATGACCACTGGTGCCCCAGTGAGGAGAGGCCAGCTTTGCTACTGACTTTCTATTTGGCTCTAGAGTTTTATTTCACCTGTATATGTCTTGCTTGTTTCTGAAAATGCTTTTAGAATATAATCTCACAGTTTTAGAGTAATAAATTGTAATAATGTAGAGGAAAATTTAAAAGTTATAACAAAGTACATTAGGATCTAGCCATCTGTTCTTTCATAAAATACGATGTATGTGTGCTGCATCTCATTCATTGTATTTTAAGTCTGAAAGTATCAAAGTACTAGTGAATTGTTGTTTTACCCAATGCATTTCTACTACTTTAGTAGAAACAAATATTCACATGGGTCGGTTGAGAGTGAAAACTTAATAATCAAGTTTTGTGACAGCCAAAAGTAGTAACAAACTCAACTAGTACACTTTCTACACCTTAACTTCTTCAGGATGAGGGTAATATCAGAGCTAAAAATACTTACTTATTTTTCTTCAAGTAAAGCACAGCAATTTTTCCATTAACTGTCATTTTATACTTTAATTCAGTTTCAAACACTTTCTGTAAAAATGCACAAACATTTACTGTGAATTAAAAAAGTACACACAAATACGTATTTGGCTACTTCTATTTGTTTAGTCATCATCTAGCAATATTTGCATTTCTTTACCAGTACACTATAAGACACCAAATATTTACATCTTCCCCCTTTAACAGATCAAACCATTTTTGCAACTAAATAGATTAATTATCTGAGAATTCTGTAGCCATTCTCTACAAGGTAAATTTGATATGCTTTGCAAAGATTTATTTGAATCAACAAGTGTTTACAAAACAAATGTTAATATCTTTTAAAAATATTGGTTTTGGATTCGTAGTGATGGCATGCGCACGCGCGCGCGCACACACACACACACACACACACACGCCATCACTACAAATCCAAAACCAATATTTTTAAAAGTCGAGAGATAAATTGTGAAATTCTGTCTACAGCTGCAGCCTGACCTGAGGAAAGAGTTGGTTAGTATATACATGAATATGCCACACTAACATTACAAAACACATAGGTTGGCTGCTCTTTAAACATAAACATTTTAAATAGCAAGAAATCTGTTAAATGAGGCAAAGAGGTAGGAATAAACATATTGTTAAGAAAAGAATACCTGGGTTGAGTAGAAGGTTTGTTTAGACAGATATGTGAAAAAATAGGAATATTGACTGTGACATGAAGCTATTAAAGCCTTAGAATTAGTCATAAAAAGTGTAATAGGATGGGACTCATGAGGCAGGGTCAGCATAATCTTCAACTTGGAGTGAGCATTTGCCCCCTGCCTCACTTTTCATACAGAAAATCTCAAAGTTTGCATATGATATAAGCAATATCATTATTAACTCCACATTAAGGAAAAGAATTTCAGGTTTCTGTATGTCTGGGTTTATGCAAGGAGAATTGACCAACCTAAGATATGAACACAAACTAGTCTTCTGCTTTGAGACACCATCTGCTTTCACTCCAGATCAGGAAAGCACTTAGGCTCATGCAGCAACTTAAGTAAGTCATGAACTAGACAAGTAATGTATCTACAATACGCATTAAGCACATCACATCCATCTACCCAATCATTTGAAAAATTAATACTGATCATTTAGCATGTACCAATAACTGGTCCATGGTACTGTATCAAAATAAATTTTTTCAAAACAAAATCTTAAATTGGTTTTTACAGCTGTGGGAAAATCACTTAATACCTATGATGAAAAACACTTCAACTATATCCAAATTTTTCTCAAAATATTCAGAAAAAGGTAGCTGACACTATTGAAAGTCTACAACAAATCACTTGAAGCCACATTGAAGAAGAATGCAATTCATGAAAATTGCATTAAACTCAGTGGATATATCTTCTTGATAAATAGTTATTTTGAGAAGCAGAGTCTACTTTGGGTTCTGCTATGGTAAATGTGTTTTGGAAGAAATACCGTCAGGAGCTTTGTCCCATAGTGAAATGTGTGTTCCTGGTAAGTTACATTTTAGAATATTTCTGTAAATTTATAAGTTATGTCTCAATTAGGTGTATTTTCCTGGCTCCTGACAAAAGACTTCAGAATGTAATTACAACATTGCTGTTGAATGGAACGTTTTTTAAGCTTTCCCCTTGCATCTAATAAGTTTGTTCAGGGAATGTTGCCTGAGAATATGTTGTTTCATTACGTTATAAGAATTATACAAATTATTGTAATGTTCCCAATTAGAAAAGATAAATTTCAGGTTAATATGTAAACATACATTCACTTACAATATTTTATTTTCTGCTGTTTTTGATTGGCCATAGTTGTGTGTGTATGGATAGATATATGTAAATAGATAGATGATAGATAGATAGATACATAGAAAATACTAGGCAGATAAAATAAGTTGTATCTAATTTTTGGAAGTGGAATAAATAATCTATTGTACTAAAGTTCATACTCTCAGCTAACTGGTTCAGTTTATTTTACTTCTCAGAACCTTGGTTTGTAAAATAAATTTAAGGGTGGAACTTTAGATTGTGAAGCAGATTAAAAGATCAAATATCAAACACAAATATAATCAGTCTCCTTATTTCATTCTGAGGCCTAAGAACTGAAAATTTCACAAAGATTACTTGACACATTAGATTTGTGTGGTCAGTGTCACCCACATTCAGGGGTAGGTCTTCCCTCTTCAGTAAATCCACCATCCATACCCAGAATTATGCTAAACCAATCAGTGGACTAATCTGGTATCACACACTCATGCTCCAGAATGACATGCACATGATTCAGCCACTCCCAAAAGCCCCCCACCTATGAGTGCATGAGGCTTGGGCGAAGACATAACAACATATATGAGATATATATTACACGCACACATACATTTATTCTGACTCAGAATTCTTTGATAAATTAGAAACTATACCTGTTTCTCTGGTTCTTTGACTTCTCTTTTATGTAGTGGATGAAGTCTTATGGGATAAACCACTTCATACTTCTTTACCTGAGGGAGCTCTTTCAAAGCACTTACTGAAGGGGGAAAGGAGGAAAGGAAAAGAGAATACTTAGCTGCAGAACAAAAATAAGCTGGTCTTAGCAATGGCAATCCTTATTGTATTCGAAATGAAGGATGCCACTCACAGAAGTTTTACACAATGTATGTGTATGTCAGTGATCAAGAGACAATACCAGAAATCTACCCTTTCTCTCAAATCTTTACTTCAATCTATATTTTCAAATACTCTACCACTAAAAGACAGTCAGTGTTTCTTTGTTTAAGGGCAACATTTCTCTTGGATTTTCTCATTTCTCTTCTCTGTCTTGAATCCTCACAGAGGCTGTGGCAGTGGTAGAGGTCAAAAGGAACGGGAGGTTGAAGCTAAATCACTCCTTTAAGAAGACAAGGAGTTCCAGATTAATTAAAAGAAAGCACTCTGGAACCCATACAATGTTATAAGAATGTATAACTAATATTGCTTTTGATTCTACTATATTTTCCTTGGATTTGCCAATAGCAATATTTGGACATTAAGCCATGACAATAACATGCTCCAATAGTAGGTTCCTACAATGAGCTGGCATTAACAATACAAATAACCTTTTCATTTTACAAAAAAAAAAATATGAAGAAGGAAATTAGAGAAGCAAAGAATTTGAAGAGACTCACTGACCTGGAAGGACTTTTCTGACCAAGTAGTTGTATTAAAAGAGAACTGGAAGGGCACCTGCTACAACCTATTTATACCTTAAATACTCATCTGCATACTGTTTCTGTAAGTCTTGTAAAAAGAGAGATTCATAGTTTTCCCAAAGCTAACACCAGATTTTCTACTTTCTCTCATTTGCCCACATGATCTAGTTCCTACTGTGTGGAGTGCAGGAGCTGAGGAAAGGTCAACAGGCCTGCTTGAGCTGCTGCAGGTGGCTGCAGGGTCACCCAGGACAGGGACTGCAGTGGGATTTGCGGGGGCAGAGGAGGACCCCACCCACAAAGCACAAAGCTAGTGACTGGCAAGGCCTTATCTTTTTTTTGTAATGATTAGAGGGCTCTCTGAATGTAGTCTTAGCTCAGTAAAGTCCTGAAATCTAGCTAGGTGTGGTGACTCACATCTTTAACCCCAGATATTTGGGAGGCTGAGTGGGTGGATCTCAAGTTTGAGACCAGCCTGGCCTATTTAGTGAGACCCTGTCTCAAATTAAAATTTTTTGAAAAGATCTGGGAGTGTAACTCAGTGGTAAGAACCCCTGGAACCTAACTCCCATAATAATATAACTTTATGTTAATTTGACTGATCTTTAAACAAACAGAACTGAGGTGCTCACTAATCATTATCTGTCCACCAGTCACCTGGGAGGACTGGACTCTTATTGCTCTAGTTTATCTCAATGATATCCCAGGGCACAAAACATTCATGTCTTAAAATTTTCTTTGAAAACTCAAAAATATCAACTAATGTCAAATTTTGACATTTTACAACCACTGAAATTGATTTGATCACTCAAGAGCCATTTGCATATATCTTGCAAAATTAGAAAAGGTGATTAAATTGTTTAAGAACTAAGAGTCTAAAACTAGGGTATTAATGAAACACCTTTTCTTTATGTGGCCTTAGATTTACTCTTGCAAAATATTTAAAAAATACTTCAAGTTATGGTATTGACACTAGAATACCTTAATTTCAGGTTTTATTTGAGTTTAAGTATTTGAAAAGAGGAGGAAAATTAAATGATGCCTAATGCTTGGTCAAGTATTCTCTAATTACATGCATATAAATACAAACTCTCATAACATTTCTGAAGGGGCCACAGTTATTTGGATAAATAAATTCTCACGAGTTGTGATAAAATAAGCCTTATCACATCATTACAGTTGAAGAACAACACCACAAGTTTCTATGTAAAGTTTCCTTTTGTCATTGAAGTAATTTCTGATATATTTTATTTTTATTTAATTAATTTTTGGTAAAGAAAATATATGACCTTAGTTATAAAACATTTTCAGATCCAACATACAAAAGTCTAAAGAAACACTAAATAATGAATTTCTTTCTGTCCAGTTAAATTTTCATAATTACTTCAGAAAAATAAGGTACTAAGAGGTTTAAAAAAACAACTCTTGCCAGAAATTAATGGATGGTATTGACAGCATTCCCTGCTGCCTCCTTTAATTCGGTGACACAAAATAAGTACACCCTAAAGCACCAACATGCTGCTGGTGTGTTGTGGTGCCAAATCAATACAATGAGTCCTGTTGGTACTGAGTCTATGAAGCCATATGTCACCAATGCCATGGCCTCATCAGCTCTTTTTAAAAATGTTGTATTAATGTTTTTCATCCATAATGTATATGATTTTCACAGGACACGCTAGTCCCAGCTTCCTTTGGGTCCTAAAATACTAATTACCTATCTGATCTTTGCATACAAACAGGAAGTGATAATACACACACTTTTTATTCAGAAGTAGTGAGACAGAAAAAGGTAAATCTATTCAACACTCATTTTCCCTGCTGTGTGCTCTGATCTCTATGCCTCTAGATCATCTCTAAATTCCAATGTTTCACGAAATCAAAAATTACCAACGGACTCTAAAATACGGATTCAACATATGTATGTTAGTTATAAGATGTATTCCCGACTATTTCATGGTGAGTGCTTCTAAATGAAAACCAAAGCAAACCATACCTAAAAACTGCTATTTCTCTCAGAAGCCTTTAGCAATTTCTCACTCCTTTCAGTGTGAAACAAATGAGTTTCCCATGATTCTACATTCTTGCAACACAGTAAGTACTCTGAAGAAAACAGATAGAATTTCCCCAGAAGGACCTTGTTTTCCTGAAAGCTAGAAGGCCCCCGAAATAATGAGATCTGAGTTACAACGATTTATGCAGCAGATACCTATCGGGATTTAACAGACCTGAATATTCGTCCTCAGGTGGACGGAGTTAGAGATTCCTCCTCCCAGATAAATAATGTCAAGTTAATTATTTTGAAGCTGATGGAACAAACACAGCTCACTGCCACCCAGGGATTACACAAATCCAAGGTGTAACACAATATGTTTCTACTAACTTATTTTACTAGGTACTTTCTCTGTCCCACAGAACTCATATGTTAGATTAGTTTTCCCAGAAAAACTGCATCAAGAAACAGAAAATTATCATTTTGGTTTCAGTGGGATAACTAGTTTTGTTGTTGCTGCTGTGTTACTCTTCATTATTTCGAAAAAAGCCAAAGCTCATTAACAAGACCGATAAAACAGACCTTGCGCTGGAGTCTACTTCATTTGTTAATGTTTGGGGCACTACATTGGAGAGTCAAACGTTTGTACATAATATTGACATTTTCATTTTTGTTCAAATCTGTTCAATATCTTTACACCAATGTCTCTCCAGACAGATATGGCATCAAGCCCTGAAATAAGATTTATGGAGTGACACTGATTTAAATTCTGAAATTCTCTGTATCCCTCCAAACTAACTCAGGATTTTAAACTTCCTGCAGTAAATGTGAGTACAAACACTGAGGAAAAACCATATCCTAATTAAGTCTATTATTGTGGCTATTAAGGTTAAATTGAATATACTTTTTTGGGTCTTTTTGTCATCTTATAATGGCAAGAAAGAGCTGCTAGTTTGAAATAAAGTAATTTCAAAAAGTACTGTATCAGCTGTACTTTGCTGGAATACAGTAAAATTTTCCCCTTTGTGAATATACTCATTTACTTCCCCATGCCACTAACACCTGTCACATACTTTGAAATGTTGCTGTTTTTCTTTTCCTGTGATGAAAGCCCATTAAGTAATTTTTCTCACAGGAGTGGGAAGCTCATTAGAAGCAAGTGGCCTTACTTTACATCTCATTCTTTTATTTCAAATGTAGGGGAACTGGGAAAAAGTGATGGTCAGAAGGGCACACAGTATAGGTGGGATGATGAAGACAGGGAAACAAAGAGGAAGAGGTGGGAAGTGAAAATCACTTTACTTCTTACATTCTGCTAGAAAATAAATCCGTGGGAGTATTAGCAGGGGTATTTCAATGATCGAGGAGAGACCTTTGCTGATACAGGCAGGGAAGAGAGGGAAATGGAGCAGCTTTCTGTCCACGATGGAAGGTAAGAGGGTGCAGTTGTCTGCCCTCCCTCCCATTCTCACACTTGCAACTTCAAACTCTCTGTTCCCACAAACACATACGTGGGGGAGTGAGGCCATATTTTCAGGCACGACTTCTAAGAACATCACATCATTGGTGCTATCCTCCGAATGCACAACCAAGGGGTGCAGGAACAGTTGGGGTACCCAGTTTCCCTCAAAGGATGATAATGTGTGTGGACCCAGTGTTGGCAAGAAGAGCCCTTTAGTGGACCCAGTATATCTTCGTCTTCTTGCAACATGCTAGAGTGCCTTGCAACATTCGGGATGACTCCAGCACTGCAGGCCTGCCTTTGGACAAAGATAAGGACCCAAGCAGTTCTTAGGTTTCAATGAAGATTGGCACCCCCAAGAGTGGTGGGGAACAGCATTTCTGGAAAATGTAGGGAAAAAGAAAGATTACTATATTTAACTCTTGCTTAAAAGGTAGGAACTTTAATTCAAGTAATAAAATGCCTAGCATCAGTCCTCTATTTAAGGATATTAAGTAAAATGTTTACAAGTCTGAAAAACAAATCAGAAGCCAGGGGTAGCAAAAACCATTTTTAGTGACCTTGTGCAGATTGGGTACATAGCAGAAAATCTTTCCCCCCCTAACTCCATATCTTTTGTTGTCAGTTTGTTCTATTCCTGGGTCCCATTAAGGATTCTAAGACCCAAAAAAAGGTTTATCAAGGAAGATCCCAGAATTTACAGCTAATGTGCTAACTTAAGTTCTGGAAATAGAAATGTGTTACCAAGTCTTATTTATCCAAAAATCTAATTAAGAATTTATCAGAAACCACGAGAAAAGCTAGATGTAATGGATTCTTAAGAAATAATATCCTTCTACTTTTAAATTCTTAACTATTTGGTACAAACCAGCAAAATAAAAGTGAATTATCAAATGACACTTAAGTGCAACATTTTTGTCAAGAAAAACCACAACTCATTATAAATATAAAATTGGTCAACTATTTACTTACAACTAGTTATATTTATTTTCACTAAAAGTAAAAGGACTATTAAAAATGTTCAGTCAAGCAGAATAAAAGCAGCCAAATTGGCCCCAATAATAACAGCAGCTTCATTCCAAAGCCTTTCCACACGTGTCACCATTCGGACCCTTGCATCACTAATGCATTAAAAATGACAAGATGAGTTTTAATGAATTCCACTTTTTGACCCAAATATCATATTCATTGTTTAAATTATGCCATCCAAAATCTTCTTTCATTTTTCAACATTCAGAGGTCAGATACATAAGTATGATTTCTCATTTCCCTCCTTTATATTGCTTTTACATCAACCATAGCCCCCCAAAAACAGATTAAAACCAGCCCAACTGGGCAGTACAATTTGTTGGGGTGGGGAACTAGTCAAGGTATTTTATACACCAAAACTATTGAGGGTAGATCAAAATCAAGCAGACCTGTGATACACCTGAGAAAGGCTTGACGCCTACCTGGAGCTGGAGAGAGGAGGAGAGTGAGTGTCAGCAGAGTCCCCTGCAACATGCTGGGTGTCCGGCCACGCAGGCTTGCCCTTGCTCACACCTGAGCTGCAGCTCTATCCCTGCCTCCTCTGGAGCCAGACAGAATGCGACTCCCTACCTCATGCTCTGTGCTTCAGGAAGTGTTTACTGAAGGTGTTGCACAACACTGGAGCTGTGGTCCTGCAGCCAAGGCAAGGCAGGGGGAAGTCCTGGCTGCCTCTTGGCTGATTCTGAGATTCCTTCATTGTGAGCTATTGATTCCTCCTTTCTTCTCCATCCATATTCTCCATTCAAAAGTAGCACATTTCCAATACAGTCACAGGAGGTGACTGCTTTGATCATCTTAATAAATGTTCTAGTCATTTATCATGTACATACTATGCGCCTATTATGTCTATAATATGTATATAGGTGTGTGTATGTATTCTGTACCTTATATACTGTACAGCTAACATAATAGTATGTATTATATATGATGTATATAATATAGAATATACATTTAAGACATGGGTGGTACACATTTTATGTATATCCTTCATGTAGTGCAGGTATAAGGGATATATGTAAATATATTTTGTGTATAATTTTTAGCTATGCTAGCAAAACATTATTGAGAATGCTATTCTTCTCTCATATACATGTGTTGTTCAATAGACTAATTTCTAGTTCAGTCTAGTGTTTTGGTAAAATTCTCATTTCCGTTTACTTGGTGTTATATTCTCACACTTAGGTGCTCCCAGGGACTTTGAACTATCCTGAAATAAGAATGCAGTCAATGTGACACAAGGCTTTTCAGATCCACAGGGTGAGAACTAGGATGGGGAATGGGGACAGAAGACTTCAAGACCCAGAGCATGAAATTTCTGGGCTGGCGACTGATAGTAGTTATTCTAAATCAGACAAGTGCAGAAACCATACTGCATAACTGATAAAGTAATGAATATCAATTGAGTGGCTTATTGAGTTCCAGGCACTCTCTTAAATCCATTATATTAGTTGTATTAATCCTAACATACTTTTTTACTACAAATACCATTTTACCTTCATTTTGTATAGAAAATGGAGCTTAAACACATAAAAGGTTTCAAAAGATTAAGATGCAGTTGTCTTCATTGTAAGAAGATTAAGCAGCTTGCTCAAGTTACCTCTATAGAGAGTGGCAGAGGTGGACTTTGAACTAGGTTGTTGTCTGAGCACTTAGTCATACCCTTCAATGTTTCCCAAGTGCTTAACTGACTTATACACACAGTTTTATTTCTATTGATAAGGTTACTAAGAAATAGAAATATAACCGAGGACAATCACTGCAAACCCCATTCCTGGTCCACTAAAATTATGCATCATTTTATGGCATCGGAAGCACCTTATTCTTACAAAAAGGAATGGCTTTAATTATCATAAAAGCATCAAACAGAACCACAGGCAATTCTATATCTAGTTACTGAGGATGTCAACCATCAGGATTGAGAATCTCACAGATTTCTAGCCTCTTTAAAACAAGATCTACAGCTTTGTCTTTTCTGGGGAACAGAAAGGATATATCCATTTTTTCATTACATTATTTTTTCTCCATTCATTCAGTGCACACTCATTAGTACCTAGTATGTGTCAGACACTGAGATCACAGCTGAAAAACCCAATCACTTTTTTTTGAGATGCTTATGATCAGGAGAAGGAAACAGGCAAGACCATTACCATGGAGTTGCATGAAGTGAATGCTACCATTTTTAATCACAGTACCTTCCCTTTTGCTCTATGATCCAGTCTGGATAGATGTCAGAGGACATTATAGGCAGGGCAGGGAAGGTTTCCTGAAGGCCACTACAGGAATTAATTCCATGTGTGCGATAAAGAATTGACTCTGAGAAAATGTGAAGAGGACATACCAGAGCTCATTAGATAATGACTGGTAATGTTTTGGTATTGTTGAAGTAAAGAATATCTGGGCAAATAGGAAGAGATCCTGCTAGGTATAAAAAAGCTTGTGCTGAATTTAGGTACTATAAGAAATGAGAGCCAGGTGGGTTCTAACAAGTGCAGGAATTCAAAAACTTGCCTGCTAGATGCTAAATACATTGGGGTGGGGGGAGAGTGATAATAGTTTGTGTGGTGATGCAAGAGGCACTTAAATTGGCAATTGGTTTTCATTTCTCTTTGAATTTCCTGTTGTGGTGACATGACTGATCAGAGTGACTTAGTTATCATTCTCACAACTTTTGGCACATCTTCAGAACCTAGGGTTGTATTTATAACACCTCTTAATAGGAAAGAACTTTTACCAATATACCAATATCCAAATGACTATTCCTCTCTGCTTTCTGAGTTATTTCCTTGAAGATGATGAAGCATAATAAATGCTTGATGATAAATGGACGAATTTTGACACATAGCTTAATTTCCCCCTTTCCTTCTTGGTAACAGATACAGCATTATCACTTATGTCTTTTATTGTTGTTAGTGGCCAAACGCCATTAGAACACAAAATCAATGGCAGAAAAAAGAGTACATCGGTGAACAAGAGACATTTCATCATATAGTAAAATCAAAACACCCCAGCAGATAATGAAAAGCATGAACTAGCACTCAGAGTCTGTGATAAAACAGATTTTAATAATGTCATAGATTCATATTATAATATAGAAGATATATATATATATGTGTGATTTGGCTTTGGATTGTAAACATCCCCCAAATGCCCAGGTGGTAAAGGCTTGATTCCAACCTGGCACTGTTGAGAAGTAGTAGAAAATTTAAGAACAGGGACAAGTGGGAGGTCTTTAGGTTATTGGAGCCTAGCTCCTTCCTCTCCTACATTCATTCTGGCCATGAGGTGAGGGGGTCTTGCTCTGTCATGGCTGCCGCCAGGGCCTGCTGCCTTAGCAGAGGCCCAAAAGCAACATAGCAGAATGTCATGGACTGAAACTTCCAAAGCTGTGAGACAAAATATTCCTCCCCTCTTTATGAGCCTTTCCTCATGTATTTGTTCCAATAACTGATAGCTGACGACACAGATAGGACAAGCTTTCAGGGCCAGAAGGGCAAGTATGAACTGGTAGAAAGTAGGATTCGAGCATTAGCACAGTTAGCTTGACAGCAGTGCAGAGAATTGCCAAGAATGACCGAAGCCAGAGCAGAGAAGAGAAAGTGAACTAGAGAGAAGTGAAAATGAAAGAAGAGTCTGAATTTAGTCAGAAGCAAACAAGATGGAAAGAAGGGACAAATTTTAGAAATACTTAAGAAGCAAAGGAGATAAGTTTTAGTTACTAATTAGATGTGGGAGTGCTAAGGGTAAAAAGTGGGTTGTTTATTCTTTACATACTTGTTTAGTATCTACTATGTGCTGACTACTACTACACTCACTCCTGGGGGTAAAGCTTTGACTACAGGGGCAAAGTTTATACATGTAGAGAACTTAGAATCTCATTGGAATCGATGGTGGACAAAATAAGTTCTACAAAGAAAATAAAATATGATGCCAAGTTCTGAAGCAACATTGAGAACCCACCCCTAATGCTTCCCTCCATGGGAAAGATACTCAACACTCAAATTCATGGTTCCTTTCTGCCCCTTCTCATATCTTACCAGAGAGGTAGTGGGAAAACTGGAGCAGGGCTCAGGTTAGGGATGAATGTAGGAAGCCTGATGCCAACATTTGCCAGTAGGTTGACTCTGACTGTCCTTGCATGGGAATCGGAGTGGACAGCCACACATAGCTATTAAACTAAATCGGACCAGTATAGAAACCACACTACATAACCATAATATAATTGCTGTGCTGCATTCTCTGAATATTTATTTTATTCAGAACACTTCCAGACATAATTATGTAGGGTTACCAAATGACAGGAATGGGAGATCTTGTCTTCAGCCCTGTCCAAGGAGAGCTATCAGTGAAGAATCAGAAGGACCTCATGTGCCTCTGTTTCTCCTCCAGGACCAGAAGAACCATATGCCTGGGTACTCCACTCGCTAGGGCAGAAGAGGAAGCACACACTTGAAGGGCTGTGTCCTAAAAATCTTATTTCTTCTTATTCATCCAGTTGTGAGGGAGGGATTTCCACCCTAGGGTCCTGAGGATGGCCTCACACAAGATGCTGTACCCTGGACAGATGATGAGGTTGATGGCACTTGGTGACATATGGAGGAGGACATCACATGCCTTGCAGGGCCACACAAATATTGCACTTGGGATCGGAGAATAATAGGGGCTGCAGGAAGCAGGCTTTGTGGTATCAAAGGTGAAGGTGGCCCTCCTTCCCCTGGGATTTGGTGATTGGCCTGTATGAGTAATGATGTGGATGGTTGGAACTGAAGTCCACCATGCAGAAATAAGTAGCAACTGTGCTGGGTCCCTGATAAAAAAACATTGTTTGACTCGGGAACCAGATCTGTGGCAGCAGAGAGGGGAGCATGACTTCCTGTGAGGCCATCCTGTCCTTTCCGGTTTTCCCCAGAGGTCACGACACCCTTGATATTGGGCCTTAATTTTAGTCCTTATAATAAGGAGGGGAAGGTAGGGCGAACAAAGAAACACTAGAGGAATCACAGCTCTGTTGGATTCTAACAGGCAGTGTTCTGCTAGGCCTGGTCAACTTCAGATTATGCCAACGGTACATCAACTTGGTCAGACACTAGGTATCGGTATTATGAGAGGAAAAGCCACTTCTTATTACAAAAGACCTGATGAAAGGAACATGTTGCAAACACTTAGCTTAGTAATTCAGGCCTTAAAGGGTTATTGGCCAATTATAAAATTAGAGCCCAAGAAAGAAAGTAGAACTTTATGTAAATATAGTACCTGAAAGGCAGTAACAAAATCTCTTGGCCTTCTTTTTTTTACATGTATTTACTGATCTCAAAAGCAAATAGCTATCTTTTCTTCAGTTGCCCTATGTACTTACAACAGGTGGAAACTGATAAGTCAGAATAGGAAACCCTAAGGGTTTAAGCTGGCTTGCTTTTCTTTATTTTTTATCCTAAGACACAGTAGCTCATAACTTCTGGCTCACGGACTCTGTTGGTTTCTTGAGAGATTCTTACTCCCTAGTAAATTCAGCATGTGAATGTTGATTCGGTAGCTACTGCA